CCCTGTTGCAGATTTCCCTTCACTTCCTGTCTTGTGAAACTGTTATCACCACAATGGAAAGTGAGGGTAAATCTCAGATGATCCCAGATAGCAATATCGAATCCTTCTGAACTCTATCCAAATGGGGAAAAAAAAGACTAGCCAGTTTGTGGGATGTGAAAGTAACGTTGGGCACCAGTCACTTTAAGGATTTTCCCAAATTGACAAAAATGGGAGAGAGGCCTTTAAACTGATTACAGTAAAACTGTTTATTGAAGAACCTTAGCTGGTTAGCAGATAATTCCCTAGGCGAGACCTCAGACGCCTCTCTGAGGTTCAAGCCCATCCTGGTTTCTCTGGCACCCCCAGCATACAAAGTTCCGCTTTGGTTTTCAATCCCAGGAACAGATTCACAACCCAAATTGGTCCCTCCCTAACCACCTGCAGGCTAAAGGCCTGGTCAGACAGCATACACTTCATGCACCCTCGCCCAGACAGGAGGTCGGGGGGGAAAGCGACTCTCACATGGTCAACCCCGAATATTTAGATCCTCCCCGAGCATACTCCATTTGCCATGAACCTCCTAGTGACTGGCTAGGGAGACACATATATTCATGAGACCACATTATCATTATTGTCTGTGTCAAGGTTAACCCCAGCAGTAGACGGAGGCAAGAAATAACAGAGTGTTTAGGTGAAACCAAATAAGCACAGACTATCAAATTAGCTAGACTAAGTACAGTCCAGCAGAACTAAATTTAAGAGGTCGTCCCGCTTAGGGCTAAGTGGCTACACATGTAAATTTTCCTGTTTAACCCATGTTTTAAATTTTGTTTTAAAGAAAAAATGTCCCCCAAAAGGATACACTCCCTGGGAAAAATATAAACACACAAACTAATATGTATAAAAATAGCAACATTTATTAACAAAGCATATCCCAGGGAGTGTATCCCTTTGGGGGATATTTTTTCTTTACTGCTTATTCTGGGTTCCACACTTCTTGGGAACATAAACTGTATAAATATTGTGAATTTCTGAGGTCTGGATCACTTCTTGGGGATCCCCCATTTCTTTCACCTGTTAATATCTTTATTTTGTTTGTTTGCAGTATGTTCAGTCTCCCAAATCTCCGGACTTCCCACCGAAATGCAGTCTGATGACTGGAGTGCCGCCGGCTTCCTGTCGAGCACAGTCAATGATTATGTCAAGCCGTACACGGGACCAGTTGTAGAGAGGGTCACCAACTCTACTGCCTGGAATTTGTTAGGGTAAGTTGCCGTCTTGAAGATCTCACCCTTAGAGTTGAGTGCAGTTACACTTTAATGTTCTGGAGCTAAAGTTCAGTTGTACACTCTTCTAAATGTTATGTTTGTACATTTTCAGGAAAGCTGCCAATCGAGTACAAGGAGCTATCAACCTGACTGGAGGATTCTTACAAGCCTACTATGAAGACCATGTAAAGGACCCAGTGGTGCAAACTAAACAATGGATTAAGTGCAAATCCAAACCCTTACTGGAGAGACTGGGGGAGATGTTTCAGAAACAAGAGCAAGAAGAACAGTCTCAGGCCAAATAAACATTACATAACATAAATTAAAGTCAACTTTGTGATGGTTTACATTAAAATTCTACAAAAAACAAAAAGACAGATGCAGCCAAATCATCCCATTCCAAGACCAAGTGATTGTAACTTTATTGCCTGGACAATAAATGTAATGAAGTAGTGTTGTAGTTATGTTATACCTTTTGACAATATTTTTAGCATGTAATTATGTTTGTATTCCTATCTAACATAGTACAATACTTTCATTGTCTTCATAACATTTAAAGGGTTATTCACTAAGCTGCCAAAGGCAGCCAAATGAATAACCGAGCCGAAGTGAACAGAGCCGACCGACGTTCGGCTATTCACTCTGGCTCACTCCGTACATAGGCTGAAATCAGCCATACATTGGCTGTCTTTGGCCGCCTTCGGTCAGCCGAACATGCCCTGCATCTGGATCAGCTGAGCCGAAGCTCCGGCAGCTCACTCACTGCCGTTCGCCCCTATTCTCATAGGAGGCGCCAAGCTCGGCTATTTTGCGTGGTACCGAGCAGAATAGCAAATAAGTGTAAAGATTGTTAAAAAATAATAATTGCTAAATGATTTGAAAAATAAAAAAATATTGGAAGATTAAAAAAATAAAAGATATTGTAAAAAAAACAAAAACAATTGGGCAGAACTAGCAGTGACAGCTAGCTCCGCCCAACTGTTTTCTATTGGCCCGCACCTGCCAGAGTCTTCTAGCAGGTCCCGGCCAATGAATAACAACTGGGCGGAGCTGCCCGTGGCGTCACGGCCAGCTCCTCCCAGTTGTTATTGGTTAATGACAGATCAGCGTCCGCAGGTCATTTGGGGATGCTGATCTGTCATTGCAACTGGGCGGAGCCAGCCATTAGATCACGGCTGGCTCCAAACAGCTGTCATTTGCCGGGCTCATGTCCGGCCTTCGGCAGACTGTTCGCCTTGTTTCATCTGTCACTTCGGCTCAATCAAGACAAAGCATATGCCTTCGGCTCGGCTGAGCCTCTCAGCCGCCTTCGGCAGCTTTACAGGCTATAGTGAATAGCCCGTACAGCAGTCCTTCGGTTCGACTGAACCGAAGGGCTCCCGCTGCCGAAGAGAACTGAAAGATCAGCCGAAGCTACAGCTGGATCCTATGGCTCTTTCGTAAATAACCCTCTTAAGGTCTGCCAGACTTTTTTTTTTTCCTAAAAGAGAAAGGAATGGTTAGAACCGCTGTCAAGTTTTTATTGCTCCCTATGTTCCCACTAAAGTGTGTCAGAGGTCCTAACACTTCTTTACTGAAAATATGTTTTATTGCTGATTTGAGACATTTCCCCAGACTTCCTGTGGCAGCAGGAACTCCAAAACTGGAGTTGAGCTTAAAGATGAACCTCAGCATTACCTTCGGTTTTGCAGATACTGTATGTACATGCTCCCCTCCTGTCCTGAAATGCTTACTCTGATTTCACTGAACACCATGACCTTTACACAGTGTGCAAGAGAAGATACAGCCTACCTCATTTCCTAGCTGGAGGACGTACCGCATACAAATACAGTCTGCGTAGGAACACCCAATCTTACAGACAACCAACCATCCATCCATCAAGGCATTTTGTTATTTGCATAACTCCTCCCAAGAGCCAGCCTCCCACTTACATCAGGGCTGAAGGCTCTTGAGAAAAGTACTGTGGTAGGGTGCTGTCATTATTTACTCTTTACAGGTATTTATATAGCTTCATCCATTTGTGCAGGGCTTTACAAATGTTACATATGCACACATACTAGGGCCAATTTAGACAGGAACCAATTAACTTACTAGCATGTTTTTGAAGTTTGGGATGAAACCAGAATACCTACTCAGGCACAGGGAGAACATGCCAACTCTGACATAAAATAAGGTATGTCATAAAAATGAAAAGGTTTGATTTAAAAATATATTAGCATGTTGATGAGGGGGAGAGGAAGGAACCAGGGAAGGCAAAATAGACGTCAGCTTTAAAGAATATACGCATTAAAAAGGGTTCCATAATTATTAATAAATTCAGCATGTGACTAAAGTTGGACGTTCATCTTCCAGCAGTGTGTTCCCCTCCGCATCACATTTCCTGTCTACCCCACTGCCACTGGGAGACCCCTGTGATCAGCCACCTCTGCCTGTGCTGGTTGCTCTCATCACATTTGAACAAGGTGAACCTAGGGGTTGCGACTTGGGGTCAGCATTCAGCTAAATCCAAACTTCCGTAAGGGTTTAGTGTGATCCTTTGGCTGGTCATGCTTTGACCAAAACTCTTGGTTCCACATAGATGGTGAAATCCCCCTGCTGGTCTATGTGTGTAAGTGTGCCGCAGCTGCGACCGGGCCCTGGAATTTCGCCACTTAGAGGGGGCCCAGGACAGAATGAAGGGGCCCCTGGTAACTGCTGATTACCAGGATATTTAATATCCCGGTAACCACTGTCAGTACCGTGAAATAGCCAATAGCAGACTGGCTATTGAAACCCCACCCACTGAGCAGAGGAGCAAACCTGAGAGAGACAGTTGTCTCTCAGTTACGCTCCTCTGCTCAGTGGGTGGGTGCAATAGCTAGCATGCTATTGGCTTTTGCAATTTGAAAAAGACGGGGGGCGCCGTGGGGGGTAAAGGGTCAAGACTGCGCCCTAGGTAGCAGAGCGCCCTAGGCAGCAGTGCGCCCTAGGCGGATGCCTAGTTTGCCTAGTGGCAGCACTGGCCCTGTTACCGGGCCTCTTCCTCCTGTCCAGGGCCCTGCGTATTTCATGCTGCACCCCTCACCTTGTTCCGGGCGCAGCGTGAAGTATCATCCAGGTGGCACCGCAGCCAATGAGTGGGAAGCGGGGTTATCCCCGCCCCCTCATCAGACAGAACTGCTCCGAATATAGAGCTGTCTGGGTATGAGAGGCCTGCTGCGGACATGAAGGGGGAGATATAGGGAGCTGGGAATATGAAGGGGACATGGGAGAGGAGAGTGCGGGGTCAGGGAGAGGAAAGCTGGGGACGTGAAGGGAGAGGTAATGGAGAGCTGGGGACATGGGACATTAGGGGATGCTGGGGACATGGAAGAGGAAAGTGTGTTCTTTTTTTTGAGGGGGGGGGTGTCTATTTTTTTTGTCTGTCGCTTTTTGTGTGTGCTTGGGGGGGGGGGGGGCTTCATAGCTTCTTGCATCGGGGCACCGATGCTATTTCTGGCTCTGGTCTCTTCAAGAAAGTACTGCTGTAATTTTTAGTGGAGACCTTTATGGTTCCTTTCAACCTCACATGTTCTATGATGTACACAGGACGCCCATAGCACACCATCTACAACATACACAGTGACACAGTGATACATAGTGACTACTGCTAGCAGGTTCTGGTCACACACTTCTGACCTCTGAACACTGAGCTCACTGTTTGCTTGGACTTAGAACTTCTACCTGTGACAACACATCAGGAAGAGTATATAACGAAGTAACCCAGGAGCATGGCCAGCCAGCGGGAACACAGACAAGGTAAGGATGGGAAAAGATGGAAAGGGGAGCAGGGAACCCAGGCTACTACCCAGCATTTGTAAAACACTAGACAGCTGAAATAATAGCAACATTTATATATCTGTATTATATATTTTTGGATTGGAGTTATGCTTATGTGCTACCTATGTCCAAACATGTGACTGAAATAGTTTAAGCTATATTTCTATATGGTTAGATCTACCTGAAAGAGACCGCTTATGAGAGCTGGAAGGCTTTTGAAGGAAACCTGCACTGGGAGAATATTGAAGCAGCCATTGATGATCTCTCCTACTGAAAATTCTAGTTGCCTGGCTGACATGCTGATAAGCCACTTACCCAGCGTGAAGAGAGCAGGTCAGGAGTTCTGATCTCACTCCGTCTTACCTGATCTGCAACTTGGAAAGAATTGAAGCCACAAGCAGTCAGGCAACTAATATTATTGGAGGAGGGTCAGTAATGGTAGCCCTTGAATTTCTCTTAGTGAAATCTTATTGTTTCTGTGCTGGCGGCTATAGTGGTGTAATAATACACTCATATTCCAGGACACTCTTCAACTCTGTTACTCTCATACCTTACACACTCCATGAGCTGAATGCATTCTAGAAGTCAATTCTTTACAGTCTACATATCTTACATGTCTTCAATATTGACAGTAATCTAATTTCTAACAAGAACAGGGACCTAAGGGAGTTTAGACAGATTGCAGTGTTATACTGCTCTTCTCTACGAGTAGTTGCTTACAAGTTTGTGTGGTATTTGTCTAGTTTTCCCTACAGAAGGTGAGAATAGTTGGGCGAATCCCTCCTAGAGGACAAATGGGTGGAAAAGATGCCTTTCTGCTTTTTTTTAAAGGACTATTAATATTTTATCATCTAATAACTGTACTTGCAATGCTAGTGCTCATTATAGCAGAGGTGAGCAACCAACTAGGGTGAAAATACACATCCAGTCATGCCCCTGCCTCTGGGAGTGTTTCACCACAGCTGGAGCGCTGAGCTTACCTAACCTTGCACTGTAGTAATTGTGTTTTTTAGTTTTTAAGTTCACATGTCTTTATATATTTCAACACATTTACATGCAGATCAAGCTATTCAGCAAACAGGGTTTGGGGAAAACCTTAACACTGTCAACACAAGGCTCACTTTGTACTTTAACACCTACCTGTAATACCTTTCCGGTGGTCTGTTTGTTAATATTCCGTCTCTTTGTATCTAATGGGCAGCTGCAAGTATTTGACCGCCTGGATGGGTCAAATAACTGTTTAACCGGTCCCGTGCAGTAGTTTCTTCCATCGGCTCATAGGTCCTGTAGTGATAAACCAGCTAAGGACACCACTACATGCAATGGGGAACACAGTTATTTGACCCATCCAGCTGGAGAATACTTGAAGCTGCCAGTGCAAAGTGAAAAAGCAGCAAACCAACAAAAAGGCCACCGATAAGTTAAGTATGGTAACTGTTCTATCACAGGCAGACCTTAACATGCAAGTAACCTTCTGCGGACAGGGTCACTTCAAATCATCATTAACAAACCATTACTTCAATTGCTGGGGCACCTCCAGCAGTGTTATAATTTGTCCAAACCTGTCACTTTTGCTGGACAGCTTGGCCAGCATTTATAAACAGAGAACAATGTCAATGAAGACATTTAAACTACTGAATGCTTTTAACTAGGGATGCACCGATAACGGTTTTCGGTATCGAGTACCGATATTTTTTTTGGTACTCGCCGATACCAAATTCCGATACCAGAAGTCACATTAAGGAAGCCAGACGGCATGTAACGACTCACCACCCAGCTTCCCGATTAGCAGGGAAGCCGACTCCATGTTTGGAGGATGGAGCCGGCTTTCTGGCCCATCAAGAAGCCGGGAAACGTGTAATGCCGGATTGCCCGGCTTCCCGATTGGTCGAGAAGCTGGCCAATCAGAAAAGCCGGGCAACGCGTCTTTACACAGCGCCTGGCTTCCTGATTGGCCGGGAATCTGGCTCCATGTCATTACATGCCCCCTGGCTTTCTGATTGGCCAGAAAGCTGGCGGGCATGTAAGGACACGCTGCCCATCTTCCTGATTGGCTGGGAAACCGCCTCCATGCTCCCTCGTCACAAGTACCGGAAGCTCAAGTATCGGGCTAGGCATCGGAGCATTTGGGCGAGTACGAGTACTCTCCCAAATACTCTGCATCATCACCTATACACATACAGATTCTAGTATCGGTGCATCCCTACTTTTAACACTTGTAAGTGCTTGCTAAAAAGTAACTTCAGCTCATCTAGCCAAAAATGAAACTTCACGAACTCCGGGCATACTTATTCTTAACAGTTGCAGTGGGGCTATTAAGTGTTCCTTTTCATCCCGGGACAAAAATAAAAAAGTTATACTCACCTGAGCCTCACAGGTCCTGCGAGTCATCACGTTCTATACAGTGTATAGGACGCGAGGACACCAAGGGACAGTCCTTCGCTGGAGCAGAGGAGGAGACAGGCAGCAAGGACCAGAGTAGCAACAAGCCGGCTGTGAGGCTTAGGTGAGTGTAACTGTTATTTTTGCTCCTAGCCAAATTTGGGCACTTAACCCTCACAGTTTGGGGGTTGCCCCACTGCAGGGTATGAATAATTATGCCCAAAGTTTTTCATTAAAATACCTAACGCTTGTCCCCGTAAGTAAATGTAAAAAAAAAATAAATTTTAGTCTATGGAGTCCAGAGTTGACTTTCTAGCAGGTGAAGTTCTTCTTGCGCTGCTCAGCTCCTGTGTTGTTATCTTGAAAACAGATCCAGTGCATGCGCAGATCTGTGCCAGGTCTGTGGGATCTGGCGCAAGTGCAGATTCCCCCC